TAAGTGGTGCCTCGGTGATAGGGAAGCCAGGGGCGCGGAAGGTAGAGGTGCTGATGCACCCAACCTCAACCGAAAAAAAATGTAGGGACGCTAGACGTGGGCGTCCGACCTCGCCTCCGGCCGACTTGGCCCGTTAACAACAGTTCGACAGTCGACGTCCACCGTATGGTCCACAACAGGGTGGCGCAGACATGGTAACTTGCACGTGAGTTCGTTTCAAGTGAGAGCAGACTTGCGTAGCATCTACAACACACTCTCTCTTCCCTCACCCACTTGATCACGGAGTTAATACACAGTCAAGAAGACCGGAGGTGGGATCAGGCGCAGATGGCTGGCGCGGCTCACTAGCTGCGTCAGCCAGTCATACACAGACTCAAGTGGTGTCACACCCGAGCCTCGAACTCGCGACCTTTTTGATCAGAACCAGGCGCCCCAACCATTGAGCCATTGAGTCAGGGCCTCTGTTGAGACCCAAGGCAGAATGGAACAGACAAGTTCCGTTACAGGTCAGGCGAACGTTTGTAAATGGCTGTCGAAATGTCCGTCTCATTATAGTGATGGAAAGGACCATGCATTGCAGCTATCCCTCGTATAATAATTGACTCCCCCTCCCTTGCGCAGCCCTATATTCCACCTTATTTACCCTCTTAGCGAGAACTGGACAACGAGCGGACGAAAACCAACCGGGCAGAACGGGCCCGAAGCCGACAAGAGGAGGACAGGCGAGCACAGGAGAAGGAGGAGTGTGAGGAGAAACGACAGTTACAGTACCTGCGTGAGAAGCTGGCCGAAATGGATCAGAAAACGCGCGAAACTGAGGAGATTGTACGCCTACAGCTCTCCACCGCATCCGCCCAACGTGAAGCAATCTCTGGCCGGTCAAGTGTCCAGGTTAGAGAGATCATTTGCGTTACATTCATGCCTGCATGCTGAACGACTTCAAGTTGCTCACTGGAAAAGATTTGATGTTTCGCGGAGCTGGATGGGCTCTTAAAGCGTCGACTGCCACTATCGGTCAGCAATTTGAATGTCGGGCCGAACTTGTCGGCCTTGGGCTGATCGAGGTTTTTTCTTCGCTTGTGCTGCCTCGGCCACTGTACGGATGATTGTGTAGCTTGACGTCGACTGGTGTTGCGCCGCTTTGTCACCACGGTTGAGGGTGCTGGTAATCCCGTTTCCTCTTCCGGTGGAGCCGCCTTCGCTCACGCTTTTGGAGTCTGGTTTAATCTTCTTGTCCTGATATTTATGCACTTAATGGCGCAGGGCAAGGTCCAGATGCCTGTTGGTGGAGTTGCCAATTTCTGACCCAAACCAGGAACTGGGAAGACCCCCGGTTCCCGCTTCGGTTTAGCTGGTTAATAAATCTAACCATTTCATGCTCTGGCAGCTATGGTCCCGGACATGCGAATGTACATTG